GAGATAGCAGACGGATTCGACGGGGCAAGAGGGAGACTTTGATAGGACCCAGGGAAGAACTACGTAACAAAATGACAGACCGGTCAACATTCCCAGCACAAGGGTAAAGGGGCTGATAACGACAGTGTGGAGTGTGAAGGGTTTTTTATGAATGCCGCTTGAAGGAGCACACGACTTTACATTAAAAATAAGCACGGTAAAAATGTTGACAGGGACGATATAGGAAATGTGAATAACCCAGGGCAGAAGAGATACCACAACTGTTTAGCACACTTTTGGTCAAGGGTTGGGCTTCACTTGTCTCTTTGACGAGTTGTAATATGCTGCTACGATTGGCGAGACTCACTGACGATGCCGGCGAAACTTCTGGAAATGCACCACGTCCACGGTCCTATTCTGGATATGATGATGCATACAATGGCCTCCGGACTAGGTGCGTTCCTCTAAGTCTTTCTACCAATATGACCAAGTGCGAAAACAAGGTCAAACAACTTCTATACAACGAAGGAGACTGCGACCACACAAAAGGCCACACTGTTTTGTTCTTCATACCTTCGATAAAACTGGTGTTACTGACTTATTACTTGTTATTTTTATTTTCTTACCCCTGCATTTTTTAACAAACCCTTATCTCATAAAATACTTTCCTCCACTTTCCATCTAGATCTTCTTCAACATCGCTCTTCGTGGTTTATTTTTTCTTGCTGAGGGCATCACTTTCACTTGGCTTATCCTCCGCCGCCCGGGTGCTGTTATTGATGCCTCATGCCAGAGTCTTAGTGACACCTTCTGGTTGCCACACTCTTCTGCCGACCTCGAGTCATATTGGCTTGCATTTCCACCGGACTGGATATTTAAGAGTCACAGTCTCCTTGCTTTTCTTTCCTATTTGGCTCGAATGCTATGTCTAGCTCCCTATTGGCTCGTCAGTCTAGCCTGGCTTGGCATCTGCCAGGCTGCAATGAATCTTACAAGACTTGTCTGCTGCAAATACGGTAGCAACCGCATTGGGGTTCCATCTTGGTCGGCCTTTGGAACCGAGGGCTTTGTAAATTAATCAGTCTTTGTGACCACATCCTTATCTTTTATATAGTCATTCTTTGTATTCTAACATTTTCATAGCCCTCTCATGCTCTTGATTTGTTGTTGTTTATAAAACATGACTTGAACTTATGCTAAAAGATAAAAAATATAGAAATTGGAGTTCTAATTGTTCAAATTCTGCCCCTGCCTGAACAATCGCAACGATTCCCTCATACTCTTTATTTGCTCATCTCTTTTTTTAAATATCGGTATCTTAACCCCATTAGTTAAGCTTTTTG